TGACGAAATGTGCAATTGAAAAGTTATGAGTAATGAAATATATGATTAAAATTAATTGTTAACTTTGATTTAGATTGAAATTCGAATTTTAATTTCTACAAAACAAGGGTTTTATAATTTTTCCCTTTTTTCGTCATTTTTATGAAAATAATTATTTGTAATTAAAAATTATTAGATTTTATTAACAAAAGACTAAATTTATAATTAATATAAATATATTGATTTATCGTTTGCTACATCATATTGATAAAAAACAATTATTATATATATTATTTTGGTTATTATTTATTTAATTAAGTTGATTTAAATTTTTATTCTTTTAAAAATATTTTTTATTATAATGAAAGGAAATTGAGAGAATCACCACCTTGTATAGTCTTATTTCACACTTTTGTCCTGGATCCACAAAAATTCAATTTTAAATTAAACTCTTCAATATTTTTTGAATTTTATAAAAGTCTATAAAAATTTTAAAATAAAATTCTACAAAAGTGTATAAAAGACTTTCAATAATTTTATACAAATCTACAAAATATTCATAAACTCACAGAAGTCACTACTTAAAAAAAGTCCATAAAAATTATTTAAAATCTCAATTGAATATACCTTTCCAAAAGATACGTGTTAATCTTCATAAGGATAAAATTACCAACTTACGCAGTGGAATTCTTTGTAACGATTGAGATAATCAAAATCAACCGGGATTCTTGAACGGCTCAATGAAGCAAAGGGATTGGGATTTTGATTTGCTGTGTTATAACTTTAAATGCATTTATATGTTCTTGACATGGGTGCCACTTCATAAAATATTGTGTCAGTCAAAGTAGGAGCATGTTTGGGAGCGATTTTTTTTCAAAAAAATTGATTTTTTGATCGTTATTTCACTATTTCAGCCGTCATATTTGACTTTTTTCTCTCACAGGTGGACCCTACTTTTCTCCTAATGGTCAAAAAATCAATTGTCAAAATCACTTCCAAACAGGCTCTAGGTAACAATTGAATTTTCCATCCGCTTGTCTATATTGACCATTTTTGTCCACGTACGATATTCCCCCATATTTTCTAACTACTTTCTCTACATGTCCTTTGCATCTCGCTTGTTGATGTGCACTTCCACTATAAATTCCCACCTTCTCCCTTTTATCGATTTTCTCTAATACGTCTCCCTCGAGTCCAACCTTGTCTACGTTCCTTACAATTTATATGCATTATTTTCAAATATCAAGAATCTTGTATTCCTTTTTTATTTCATTTTCACATGGAACTTATCCTTTTCAAATAAATTTCTTCTTCTATCCCTATCGTGATTAAGACTAATTGCATTAGTTTTTAAGTCAACTAATCATTACAAGGCACGAAACAAAGTTACTATTGACCAACCTTTGAACATGACCGGGGTTATTGGGAAATGATCATGCATTAACATAAATAATTAATCAAGATTATTGAACTTAAAGTATTTTGGGCCAAGCTTAGAATAATTATTTTTTATTGATAAGTAACTTATTTTTTTGATAAGTAGTTACTTTGAAAAGGTAAATTTTCACTTAAAAGTAAGAAAGAAATAAGTCCCAATGTGTCATTCCTCACTCGCATTTTGATACTTAATGACAACACTTTATATTACCAAATAATGAAATGTCGTACAATCGTGCACACATTTGAATGATGTATTTGATTTGCTATTGAATACTAATATTCGTGAACAATGCTATTCAAACAGGGATTGCAAACAAGGGTAGGCAGAGTGTTGTCCTGTGTGGCTAATTCCCCCCCTCCCCCCCCCCCCCCCCCCCCCCC